TGTGTGTGTGTGTGTGAGAGAGAGAGAGAGAGAAAAGGGGGGGCACGCACACACACAAACAATCAATCTCACACACGGCGGACCCTTCGAGATATTCACTCGAATTGACGCCCGCCGTCTCTCGACCCTTGTGGGCGCTCTCTCTCGTTTGCCAGCGCGCTGTGAACAATTCGGTACGCGCACCCCCTCCCTCGATCGCCTTCATCCGCCGGGCCGAATCAAAAGTTCGGCCCGATTCCGGCGTGCAGCGGAACTTCACAGGTTAGTACCTGGCAGCCATCTTCACAGGTTAGTACCTGGCACGTGAGAGAGAGAGAGAGTTCTTCTTCTTCTTCTTCTCAGTCCACCATCTCCCTCTCGCTATCTGACTTCACTGCATCCGCAGACTACAAGAGAGAGCTTGGTGACATTTGGATATGTTGGGCTTCAGACATTTTAACGAGAGATTATTTGGGACTTGTAACGAAGACTTCGTTTTGACGCCTTTCCCATCTCCCCCCTCCTCTTCTTCGTCTGTTCCCCTCCTCTTCGTCTGTGCATGATCAGGACCTGGCGCATTCTTCTTGTGTGTAGCGCCAGACCTCCTTCACACCTTATGATGAAGATGATGTATGTTCAGTGTGCATTGCAACATTGATTGGGCTTGTCATTGGTATTCTGGCATTCTGTTGCATTGTCTTGTACTACGTGAGGGAGGTCAGTCCCGGTCAGGTCAGGAGTTGTATCTAAGTCTTCCCCTGCGCTATAAAAGTACCATTTTTGTATGTATCAGAATGTACACTGCTTGTTGAGATTTCACTTCCACTGCATTGTCCATTCAGTTCTTTTTATCACAATGTGGATCCTCGGTTATTTATGTACATCGCCCAACTGGGCATGTAACAGTTGGTATCGGAACACCGCACGTGAATCAGGACAACCTGATCTGACACGTGTGCGAGGACTAAATAGCCGATTAGTCTTGAGTGATTGATTAGAGCACACTAGTTAGCCCCCAAAATCACGATTTTGACCTCACTGCCGAAAAAATAAATATATATATATATATATATTCTTGGATTTTGTTTTCCCACTATTTCTGTTGTGGAAAATGGCAATAACACAACACCTGAAATTTCCGTTTTCGTTTTTCTTTTGAAAATCCGAAATTTCGTTGTTGGAAATCCAGAATATCTTTTTCTCGAAATTTTTGATTTCCTTTTGCAATTTCCCGTTATTTAGAAGTCCGGAATATTTTTTTTCCGAAATTCATTTTTAAAAAAAAACGGCACGGGAAATACCTCTTGCAGTTATCATTTTCCAAACTGCACGTACTCTCATCTGAGTAATTCCGAATATTTGTTTGTAGTTTTTTCCGGAATTCTTATCAGACACTCATCTGCAGTCTGAAGGTTCGGAATTTTTTTTCTCATTCATAATTTCGCACTTCTGGGGGAATTGGGAAGCCTACAGAACTTGCAAACGAGTATTTTTTTCTTTTTTCTCGAAATTTTTGCGAAGTTCAAACTTTTCTTTTTTTGATTAGCGGCTCCTTATCTGGGGGATTTATCCCACCCACCCCTCCCCACCTACGTTGTTGCCACCTCTGATCTTACCTTCTCTATTGGTCTCCGAGTACCTCCTGCAGCGGCATTGGTAAGTTGCCACATCAGCAGACCACATCAGCAGGCCACGTCAGCAGACCACGTCAGCAGGCCACATCAGCAGGCCACATCAGCAGACCACGTCAGCAGGCCATGTCAGCAGACCACGTCAGCAGGCCACATTAGCAGACCATGTTAGCAGGCCACGTCAGCAGACCACATCAGCAGGCCATGTCAGCAGGCCACGTCAGCAGGACACATTAGCCGACAGCAGTGCCACGTCAGCAGCAGGGAGTATGTTGCATACTGTAACGTGTAGACCAGAACAAGAACTGACCTCTCAATACAAAGTACAAGATAACACAGAGGAAGACTTAGATACGAATGATCCGAACAATCAATATTGCAATGCAGCCCTGAACACACATCATCATCATCGTTATCTGGTGTGAAGGGGATCTGACGCTTCACACAAGAAAACTGCGCCAGCCCCAACCATACACAGACGAAGAAGGAGGGGTTAGACGAAGAGGAGGGGAAGATGGGAATGTCATCAACACCAAGTCTCGGCACAGGCCCAAATAGTCCCTCGTCGAAATGTCTGAATCCCAAATGTCCAGTCTGGATCCAATGTCGTCAAGTCTCAAGTCACAACTCTTTCTCTCTCTGTCGTAGTCTGAGAAGTCAGGTGGCGAGAGGGTGAGAAGAGATGGCGGACTTAGAAGAGGAAGAAGAAGAACTTTCTCTCTCTCTCTCTGTGTCCAGTACAAACCTGTGAAGTTGGCGCCTTGATGCAGGTACCTCGAAGATGGAGCTGGAGCGATGGCGCCACAGGTAAGTACAACTGGCCTCCGCCAGTATCTCTCCCAACTCTACGATCTACCACCTACCATTGCCCAGTGCTGAAGACTACTCTATGGCTATGGGCGCCCAGCGCCGAAGACTACAGCTAGCGCTAACTACTGCCTAGTGCTGAAGACTACTGCAGCGCTCCTCCTGAGTGCTGCGGCCGAATCCTGAAGACTACCCGTGCCTACTGACAACTACCTACCCGTGAAGTGCATGGAAACTTCCTATGTACTACCGGGTGTGCCTCCTGACTCGTGCGAGCAGTCCAGGAGGCCGCTCTTGCCAATGCCGAAGGGAGGCAGGGGCTGCAGCTGCAGCTCCTGCTCAAGCTCGTGAGGAACAGGCTATTTCTGGCATGTTCCGAAACCCTGTATTCGTGCCTAAGTCTTAGGGGTGGTCGAAACAATGAGGGCCTGAAAAAGGCCCTCCGTTTCAGGCTGGAAAAACTCTGGGCCTGAAAGGCCCAGAAATAGGCTGAAACGGAGTAGGGCCTGCAGACCCTCGTATTTCAGCTTTCAGGCTGAACGTCGGGGGCCTGTAAGCCCTAAGTTTTAGGCTTTTAGGCTGAAAGTGGGGGACGGGCCCTGGCCCTGCAGGGCCCGTGTGGCTACGCAGTATGCCACAGAGTACCACGTCAGCAGACCCCCGGCCAGGTCTATGCTCACGTGCTGGCAAACAGTCGTCATGGACCAGAAGTCTGGGGAAACGGGCGTGGCCTATCATGCCCGGATGCTGCTTCTGATTACCAAAGCCAAGCAACGGTCGAATGCAGTAGCAGCCGCAGCAAAGAAGAAGGCAGAGGACGCCGAGAAGGCACGTCTGTTGGCAATCGAACAGCAGCGCCAGCAAGACGAGGCAGCAGCAAAGGGTGTCGATGAAAAACGAATTCAACGACGCGAGAACGCTGAGAAGATATTCAGCGGAGAGCGAGCTTTGCTCACAATGGCAGCGGACTGGCGGGCCGAGGCCGAGAATGATAAGATGCAAGAGAGTGAAAATAAGATCGCTCTACTCCTCTCCCATCTCACGGACCTCCTGGCAACATGCATTACGCAGCAGGTGGACATCCACAGCCTCGACGACGCGTTGTCTCAAGTACACAGCCGCCTCCACCAGCTGAAGCAGAGACCCGTCGCCGCCCCCGATGCCAGCTCTTCCAACACCTCCGATCGCCTCGAAGCATTGGAGATTGACGTCAGATCCCTCAAGGACAACGTGCAGTTACAGCAAACCGCAATGCAACAGTTGGAGCAGCGGATCTGTACTGCCGCCACCCACTTGAGCTCAGAACCGCACGAGATGACTCCAAGGTTCGATGATCAGGAGATCTTCTGCGACTCGACAAAGACGGACCCGATTCCATGGTTTCGCAAGTTCGAGCTCAAGTTGCAGCTCCACCACGTCAGCGAACACAAGCACCATGCGTACTTATACTCCCGGTCGGGAGGTATGTGCCAAGCATGGTTGGACAATCTCTTGTCCAAGTACGGAGTGGTGGCTGCCGACTTGCACACCAAGATCAACTGGGATGATCTAAAGGCGGCGTGGCATAAGCGGTTCCAAGTAGAGTCGTCGGAGATCAAGGCAATGGACAAGCTGATGACCTTCGAACAAGGCACGTTGCTGAGTGTTGACTGGATTGCCGAGTACCAATCCTTGACATCCGACCCAGACATTCAAATGGGCTTCAAGGTCGTCAAACACCACTTCATCTTGAGGTCGTGTACGGCGTTGGGCAATGCCTTGACTCACGAGGACACCCTAACGACAACGGCGGAGCTCTTCGACAAGGCCTCGCAGATTATTGTCACGAACAAGGAGGCCAAGAACCTCCGCCGTTCGTCTGCGACAGGCCCGAGCAGAGATCAACATCGGCCGAAAGTGGTCATGGTCGCGGAGGCAACGCCAGACGACCAAACTAGTGAGGTCGTGTTTGCCAATGAAGGGGACAGACTCACAGCCACCCAGGATGGTGGCCGCCCCGGCAAAGGCCGAGGACGCGGCAAGGTGAGGACAAACACCACATCTAGCCCCAGGCCCGGCGCAGCAGCTCCATCCCCATGGTCCCACTACGGTCTCTCTGAGCAAGCATACAAGGCACACACGAGATTCCACTATTATCTGTGGTGTAATAGCGATCTTCACGACACAATGGGCTGCCCGTCGAAAGGGAAGGGTAAATCGGGAAACTGAGCACTGGCGGGAGTGACTCGACGACACTCTCGACGCCTTCGAAATAGGTCGCTTCGTGGGTGACCGCCCTTCGTTCCGTGGCATATGCGGAAGTCATTAGTCCTCCTCTTCTATTTTCTTATGAGGAATATGCTGCCTGGTTCGTTTCTACGTTGGGTACTCATGCTCAAGGACAAGACGTGTGTGCGGCATCTTCTCCGTCCGGCGAGAGAAGGTTAACAATAGTCGTATTTTTCATCACCACTTCAGGACACCCTTCTCCACTTCATGATGCAGCCTGCCTAAACAGGTGGTTTTCAGGGTTTTCGGACCTTTCACCACTTCATGACCATTCAGGTCTGAAAATCCTAAATGGTCCTGAAGTGGTGAAAGCTCCGAAGACCCTTAAAACCACTTGTTTAGGCAGGTTGATTCCTCAAGTGGTGAAGGGTGGTTTTCAGGGTCTTCGGACCTTTCACCATTTCAGGACCATTCAGGATTTTCAGACTCCCCAAAATTTTCACTTCAAAATTTTCATTCCTGAATTTTCAGCTACCTGATAACCGCTTGTGCGTCCGGCAGCGGCGACTTATCGTCTTCTAGTGGTTCTTCACGTGATTCGGTGTTCGAGTTCAACATATAGGTATTGGACCCGCTCACGTCCGAGGATTTTGCATGGCTTCCTCTCCCGACCACGGATCGCTTGTCGGGGCCTCAATGCGCAGCATTATGCGCTCACCTTCACACGTATCTATCCTTCTATGCACCACCAACTTCGCCGACGGATGACGAAGCTGCAGTGGGGGACATCCTTGCGTATGTTACCAAGGTGGCCCGCGAGTTTCGCAAGCTGCAGCGGTACAACAATAACAACGCACCGTTCTTCTATGTCCGCATCCAAGTTGGGCAAGCGTCCTGCGGCGCTTTGCTGGATAGCGGCGCGTCTCGCAACTTCATGAGTCAAGCCTTTATGCAAAGGGCTGGCCTTGGCACACAAGTTCGAAGGAAGGTAAACCCGATGACGATAGAGTTGGCGGACGGAAGGACACAACATCTTATCGACCTCTACATCGAGGCCGTACCGGCGTATTTCGCACTTCATGCATGTGAACCGGTGACGTTCGACATTTTGGACACGGACTTCGACATTATTTTGGGAATGCCTTGGCTTGCAAGTGTGGATCACACGGTCAACTTCCACCAGCGGACTCTTACCGTTCGCGGCGCTTTCGATGCCGAAGTGTCGTGTACTATTCCTCTTCTGCACCCTTCGAGTCATTCTAGGCTACTTGTGTTTACGAGCAGCCCGACGAAATCGGCCTATGTTTCCTACGGACCGTCGCGGTAGCTGACTCTTCACCCATGGACTTGTCTTCGAACCCCCGTGTGGTGCAGTTGCTTGACGAGTCCGCCGACATCTTCGAGTCACCTACCGGGGGTGTGGTGCCGGATCGGCCGATCTCCATGAGATCATTCTTGAGGGTAGTGCCATGCCGCCGAAAGGTTGCATTTATCGCATGAGCGAGGAGGAGCTTACGGTCCTCCACACGCAACTCGATGACTTGTTGGACAAGGGCTGGATCCGCTCTAGTAGCTCCCCATACGGAGCGCGAGTTCTCTTCGTATGGAAGAAGAACAAGGATCTACGATTGTGCATCGACTACTGCAAGCTCAACGCGCAAACCGTCAAGAATGCGGGGCCTCTTCCTCGTATCGACGATCTTCTTGAGCGATTGGGCAGCTCGAAGTACTTCTCTAAGTATGATTTGAAGTCGGAATACCATCCGATTTGGATCTGGCCGAACGATCGCTATAAATCCTCGTTAAAGATGCGGTATGGGCATTTTGAGTGGGTGGTCATGCCTTTTGGCCTCACCAACGCCCCGGCGACCTTTCAAGCGGCAATGATCAACGAGTTCTGTGCGATATTGGACTGGTTCGTGCTGGTCTACTTATACGACATCCTCGCCTATAGTCAGTCATTGGAGGATCATCTTGAGCACCTTTGACGAGTGTTGGAGACACTCCGCGACGCCAAGTACAAAGTCAACCGCGACAAGTGCGAATTTGTTCGGCAAGACTTGGAATACTTGGACCATTTTGTCATACCAGAGGGCATCAGTCCGTTGTCAGACAAGATTCAAGTCATCCAAGAGTGGTCGGAACGGCGGAACATTACGGATATCCGTTCGTTCCTTGGCCTTGCCGGCTACTACCAACGTTTATCAAGGGATACTCGAAGATCGCGGCCCACTTGACCAAGCTTCAATGCGAGGATCGGCCGTTTGACTTCGAAGAGGATGCGCGGGGAATAATTTTTGACTCTCAAAGCCGCGCTATTATCTGCGGAGGTCTTGGGCATATACGACCCGTTATTGCCAACGCGCGTCACTACGGATGCGTCCGGCTATGGCATTGGTGCCGTCCTCGAGCAACACGATGGCGTGGACTGGCACCCGGTCGAGTATTTCAGCAAGAAAGTGTCCGTCGTGCACTCCATTGATGATGCACGCAAGAAGAGTTCCTCGCCTTCGTCAACTTGCTCAAGCGGTGGCGGCACTTCCTCCTTGGTCAAAGTCAATTCCAATGGGTAACGGACAAAAATCCGTTCGTCTTTTACAAGACCCTAGACACTGTCAACAGCACCATCGTCCGATGGATGACTTTCATCGACCAGTTCGACTTCATTCCCGATCACATTCCAGGGAAGTCAAACCGTTTTGTGGATGCTCTTTTACGGCGTCTGGATCATTGTACCACGGTCTATTCAACCTTCGAGATCGACGACGATCTGCGGGACAGCTTCATCCGCGGTTATCAAGCCAACCCCGAGTTTCGCGACAAGTACGGGAATTGCTCCTCTCCTAATCCGGCGCCTTCTCACTACCGGATCCAGGAGGGTTACTTGCTTGTCTACACGGGGGGGAAGGACCTTCTTTGCGTACCGAGTAACTCTCACTTGCGTACACAACTTCTTGGCGAGTTCCACGATGCTCCCGCCACCGGACACTTTGGCGTCAATCGCACGATTGGCCAAATTCGTGAGCGATTTTTGTGGTCCGGCCTTCTCGGCGACGTCACAGGCTATTGCGAGTCATGCGAGGTTTGCCAACACTGCAAATCCCGCAACCATCGTCCGTACGACGAGTTGCGATCGTTACCGGTCCCTTTGCGCCGAAGGGAAGCGATTGTCATGGACATTACCGGGCCGTTCCCCAAGCACAAGACCGGTGTGGATGGGATTCTCACAGTGGTGGACCGACTCACCAAGTTCGCTATGTTTTTGCCTTGCCGCTATCATGCCAAGGCATCGGAGTTGGCCGAGGTTCTTTACGCCGGCTGGATTCGAACCAAGGGTTACCCCAAGGAAATCATCTGCGACCTCGACACTCGGTTCATGTCTGATTTTTTGTTGGCGCTCATCAAGCGATGAGGCTCATCTCTCGAGCCAAGTTCGGCTCGCCACCCCCAAACCGATGGCTAAACGGAAAGGGCGCATCAGACCGCATAGGCTCTCCTTTGCACTCTCATCCGTCCCAACCAAAATGATTGGGTTGAGCGGCTTTCGGATGTCGAGTTGGCATACTCGTCCATCCACTCGGCTATCGGGATGTCGCCTGTGTGTCCGATTTTGAATTCAACGCGGGTTCCGCGTTGAAAAATTCAACGCGCGTTGAATTCGCGTTAAAAACTCCCGTTCAAACGCGCGTTGGACGCGAATTAACAGGGTCCGCGATGATTTTTTTCCTGGGCTAAAAATTGTCCAAAAAAAAAAAAAAAAAAAAAACGGGGTTGTAGGTTTTTTGAAGGACTACAACCCTATATTTTTATTTTTATTTTTTATATTTAAATATATTTTTAAAAAATCAAAAACATAAACATACAATGAAAAAAATAAAAACAAAAAATGAAATGAGTGTTTGGCAGATTTCTCAGGGTTTGGCTACAGTACTCACCAAATGTGCATGACGGGGTCTACGCATGCATGGCTTAGCTCTAGGGTAGGGTAGGGATATAAGTCGCTCCGGCTAGTCTGAGTTCCGCCTAGCCTTGGGTAAGCTAGGGGGAGGACGATAGGATGTGTCCGCGGGCGCTGGTCTGCCTGGCTTAGGTAATCTTGCTGGGTAGACTCCCTGAATTGGGCTTGTAGAAGATTGCATGAGCCTGGCATCTGAAGTTCCCTTACGGCAAGGTTTGTCCGCTTCCGCTTCCATTAGGGCTAGGAGGATGGCCCAGCCCTGGTGCTTGTCACTGCTGTCTAGTCCAAGTTGCCCTCAATACTGGTAGGGTGATGGTCTTGAGTGCTGCTCACACTGAGGTAGGATAGTAGGGACAGGGGGTGCGCTGGGAGTATTAACGTGGGGATGGGTAGGGTAGGTGGCCTATCCTGTCGGGACAACCATTGGGTGCTGCTACCAGCAATCACCGCAGGTCTGGTCCTTGGCCTCTACAACACCCTGGGCTTTCAAAAAAAAAAGTAGAGGCCCATGGCCTGTCTGCTTTCAAATGTCAAGCCTGGAACCTTCCCGAATTTTTGCTGCTTGGGCCTTCGAGTCATGACTTTTCGATTTTGGCAAATGATTTTGACTGCGGACTGTGACTCCTGCCACTAGGACACCACTCTGGCCTGTGGAACTGCACTTTACTCGTGGGACGTGACTCTTCAATATGACTTTTCATTATAAAACGTGATTTTTGCCCCTAGGATGTGACCGTTTGCTGGGTGGCACTGCCTGTTGGACTGGACTACTAAGGTACCTGAGTACGACCTTTCTGAAATTTACTGACTCGGCCTTTTTTTGGCCAGGGCCTCTGACCCTGAGACCCGAATTTGGGGTCTGAATCAGTGGAAGGCCTTCAGCATGTGGTGAGTAGAGGCCCTTAGGCCTGCTGCACGTATTCCTAAGAAAAACGAAAAACGAGAAAAAAAAAAAAAAAAAAAAAAAAAAAAAAAAAAAAAAAAAAAAAAAAAAAAAAAAAAAAAAAAAAAAAAAAAAAAAAAAAAAAAAAACGAGAAGACAGAGAATCAGTGACCCATAATTGTGATGCACAGGGTGGCACATACCTGAATTCGAATCCTAACTATATATTCTTGGCCCATACAGGCAGTCTACAACTCTAATGTCCATCTCTGCTCCGTGAGGGGTCCTTGCTTATCCGTAGGGGCCCTTCGGAAATGAGCCTGGACAAATAGATTGGAGCATTTGTAAGAAAAAAAAAAAAAAAAAAAGGATATGCACCCACATGCACACACATATGCTCACAAAGTTGGGGTATGGGGTGGCCCCAACTTTTTCCCCTCTTGCAGTTTGATTTTCGGGAGGGAGGGGCATTTTTTGCCACCCCACCCTGTTCATAGGGGTCAATTTTTTTTCTTTTTTTTCCTGTTTTTAGTGGTTGGGCGCGTTGGGCCACGTGTTCGAGGCCCAACGCGTGAATTCCGTTTTTCGGAATTCGACGCGACACCGACTTTTTCGCGTTAAACGCGATTCAACGAGGGTCCCAAGGCCCGTTCAACGGGTGTTCGAGCGTTGAATTCCGCCCGTTCTCCGTTCAAAAGATACACAAGAGTCGCCCTTCGAGTTCGAGCACGGCTCGCCGACTTCTCCATTGGACACAATCATTCCACGAACAGTCGAGAGTGACAACCATCTTTTTTTCGTGTGTCGGATGCAAGAGCTACTTGTCAAGGCACGCGACCAGATGGCTAAGACGCAGCAACGCACGAGCCAACGGGCCAATCGCCAGCGTCTTCCTTGCCCATTCCACGTCGGCGATCTCGTTTGGGTTTCCACCGCGGAATTTAGCCTTGAACAAAATATCTCTCGCAAGCTCCTCGTGAAATGGATGGGGCCCCGACCGATCGTGGAACCCGCTCGGGATGCACCCGAAGGACCTTCCTTCACCATTCAGGTGCCCGCCCACTTGCCAGTCTACCCAGTCTTTCATTGCTCCAAGTTGGTTCTTTACACGACAGCGGAACATGACGATTTCCCCGGGCGACGATCGCAAGACCCACCCTCTATGGACAGTTTTCAGGAGGTCGGCGACATCATCTCCCAACGACGCTACGACAACAGGCCAACCGAGTACTTGGTACATTTTGCGTACTACACTCACAAAGTTGACCGTTGGTGGACCCGTGCGGAACTCCAAGTAACAACTTCGGACGTTCTCGCACGCTACGAACACAAGATGCAAGGCAAGCCGGTACCTTCGGCTCCACATCGCACCCGCGTTCAGGTTCCACCTTCAGATCGTCAGCTTCGCCCTCGACCCGACTTGACTTCATAAGGAGGGGGGGGTGTTACATGATGCGCCTGCAACAGGCTGCACGGGCCATTTTCAGGCCCGTGACGTTTTCAGGCCGAAAGCCTGAAAACAAGGGCTTACAGGCCCCGTGTCATTTCAGCCTGAAAGCCTGAAAACAAGGGCCTACAGGCTCTGTGTCGTTTTAGCCTAAATCAGGGTCTTTCCGGCCCCGAGTCTTTTCAACCTAAAACAAAGGGTCATTTCCAGGCCGTCATGAGTTCGACCTGCCTTGAAACTCAGGCACCAAACCAGGGTTTTGGCACAGGCCATTTTGGGCCTGTTTTCAAGACAACCCCTAGTTGAGCTTCAACGCCAGGGTCTGGCACATTTAGGCATTGGCAAGAGCAGGCTCCTGCACAGGCCAACACTATATAGGACTGGCCTGCCCTGCAGGCTGCAGGTAGTTCCTAGGTACTTCCCAGGCACTTCACGTGCAGTTCAGGAGGCAAAAGGTAATCTTCAGGATTCGGCAACAACACTCTGGAGGAGCGTTGGAGGAGTAGTACTAGCGCTAGCAGTAGTCTTCAGCGTTGGGCCCTGGTAGCGTTAGAAGTAGTCTTCAGCGCGGCGCGCTAGTAGGAGCTAGAGTAGTACCGGAGAGAGAGAGAGATAGATTGGGCGGAGGCCTGGTAGACTTACCTACAGCGCCATAGCTCCAGCTTCGTATTTGAGGTACTTGCAGCATAGCGCCAACTTCACAGGTTAGTACCTGGCACGTGAGAGAGAAAGAGAGTTCTTCTTCTTCCTCTTCTCAGTCCACCATCTCCCTCTCATCCTCTCGCTATTTGACTTCACTGCATCCGGAGACTACGAGAGAGAGCTTGATGACATTTGGATCCGGGCTCGATGTTGGGCTTCAGACATGTTGATGAGGGATTATTTGGGACTTGTAACGAAGACTTGGTGTTGATGACTTTCCCATCTCCCTCCTCCTCTTCTTCGTTTGTTCCCGTCCTCTTCGTTTGTGCATTAACAGGACCTGGCACATTCTTCTTGTGTGTAGCGCCAGGCCTCCTTCACATCTTCTGATGAAGATGATGTATGTTTAGTCTGCATTGCAACATTGATTGGGCTCGTCATTAGTATTCTAGCATTCTGCTACGATGTCTTGTACTACGTGAGGGAGGTCAGTCCGGGTCAGGTAAGGACTTGTATCTAAGTCTTCCCCTGCGCTATAAAGCACCATTTGTATGTACAGAATGTACAGTGCTTGTTGAGATTTCACTTGCACTGCATTGTCCATTCAGTCCTTTTTATCACATTGTGGATCCTCGGTTATTTATGTACATCGCCCAACATGTAACAGTCTGTCTGTTAGTGTGCCTCCCTGTCTGCCTGTCTGAGTGTTGTCTGTCTGCCTTTCTGCCTCTCCCTCCCTGTCCATCTGTTCTTCGATTCGTTTGTCCGTCTGTTCATCTGTCGTCTGTGTGTCCATCTGTTCATCTCCCCGTCCGTATGTGCAGTTGCCTGATAGTGTCTGCCTCTCTCCCTCCCCACTTGGGCCTCGGTTCCCTTCTCTCCATTCCCGTTATCTCTAATTCTCTCGCTCCCTCAGTCTTCCAGTCACATTCAATGGACCAACCTGCAGTCAAAGCCCAAACTAGAAGGCAACTAGTAATGGAATCCTTAGTACTAGGAATGCATTTACGCCAAGCTACCCACATAACATATGCTTATTTATACTCCGAAAAATGTGATATGCACACGATTCGAGGCGAAGAGAGTGGGATATATATATATAGAGAGAGAGAGAGAGAGAGTACATTTTGTGGGGATGGGTTTTGTGAGTCTAGGAACCGAAGAAGAACGGGTAGAGCGGGGTAAGGTGTCATTAGAGCACCGCTCTACCCCCACTTACCCCCGCTCTAACCTCATTTTACCCTTGTTTCCCCCTTTCAACCCGATTTCGAAAAACGCGTGGGTGGTGGGTAGTTGCGGACTATGTATCACCCGCGGACATAACCACGGGCCCGCTGACCGCGTGCAGTCAGGATACCGACCGCATGCGGTCAGGATACCAACCAAGGGGGCCGACCACGCGCGACCGAGTGCAGCCAAGAACCCCGGATATTTTTTGAGGGGCCTAAACATTCGAGGAAAAAATAAATAAAATCATGGGCATGTAGGTAAAAAACAGCTCTACATGCTTGTGATTTTTAATTATTTTTACTAACATTT